CCCCCCCCCCACACACACCCACCACCACACACACACACACACACACACACTTTCAAGAGTCAGGGAGCTTTGACTCTTGGAAGCTTATACTCTGAAAATCGTCTTGGTCTCTGAAGTCCTACTTGGACTTGAATTTGGGTCTTCTGGTGCAGATGAACATGGCTACACTATGTCATTGCTAAGAATATGCAAAGCTGTTATTAGCCCATAATTCAAACTTCTTGGTCTCTGAAGTCCTACTGGACTTGAATCTGGGTCTTCTGGTGCAGATGAACACGGCTACACTATGTCATTGCTAAGAATACGCAAAGCTGTTATTAGCCCATAATTCAAACTGTTAGATGGGCTGGATGAGGGGAGGAAAGCCAGAGGGAAATATGAGTTGCTGTTATTAAAAAAAGGTTCACTATTGAAGAATAGGCAGTGCAGAGGGATATGATCTGATTTGGTGCAAACGAAGTGGGCCAGGCGGATCTTTTTTGAGTAAATTGGAGGCACGTTCAGCTTAAGAAGATTCCAGGAGAAAAAATCGTCTAGTGTTCGCTGATCAAAGAGAAAGGAATTCACAATTAAAGGGTAGTTTTACCAGCATTTGTGAAGAAAAGCATTGGAAACCTCTCAAAGGACACTTCATTTTTAAAAAAACCAACGCCTGTGAGATAACTTTTCTGTAAAAATAAGTATATTTTACTAGAACAGATTTGGAGGCCGCAGTAAAGACGTTATACAGAATACGCATGAACTTTTGCAACCCTTCCCCTCAGATATAAAGTTCTCAAAGAGGTAATGGACATTGTTTGGAACAAGAAAGGAAGAGATCTTTGTCAAAGTATATATATATATATATATTATATATTATATGAATATATTACATAAATAAATTATTCTACTTATAAAAGTAAGTCTCTTGTTATCACATATATGTGAGGTTACTGTTTAGCTCGCTTGATCTGACCCTTTTATAGACATTTCTGTTCTCTGTTTTGTTGGGAAAAATTGTTTATTGCATGTATTTTAGTTATGGGATCGAGAAATAGTCTCTTGATAAGTCTTTGAAGCATTCACATACTGTTTTTTAGAAAGCTGTGACACCTGTGTGCAATTGGGACATATTTGGGTCTTGGCTTCTACGATTTACTTTAACTGATCATACATTATGATATGCGGAGAAAGGAAGGCCTGTTTTGTTTTACTGCTGAAGCTTATTCATTGCTCTGTGGTGATGATACAGGTGCTAGCCATAACATGCTTACCACAGTGACCTGTCTTCAAGTTCAAACTGAACTGTGGCAGTGGGGTTTGCCCCAGAACTTGCTTCAGGAGAGGAAAAAAGTATACAAGGCAATGACAGGACTATCACATTGCCTTCATCTCTGGGGGGGGGGGGAATAGTTAAAATGCCTGTCTTCAGTCAGAAGGTCACAATTTGGAACAGAAAACACACACATACCTTAGCCCCAGTTCAGCCAAAAGGAATACTGTTCCATTGACTCACTGTCCTCGTAAACTGGATCAGTATGAAGCTGACCTTATGGAATGCCAAAGGGGAGCGAGAATGAATGCCTGCTCTGTGTGGTGGGAGGAAGGGAATCTGGGAACATTTGCGGCATTTTGATAAGCGATGCTTATCCTTGGCTGCCATTTATTTAGTTATTTACTTTTATACCCCACCTTCTCCCTAGGGGGGCCCCAAAGCACCTTGCCATGTTCTCCTCTACTCCATTTTGTCCTCTCAAGAACCCTGTGAGGTAGGCCAGGCTGAGAGTGTGTGACTGGTGTTCAGGTCACTCAGCAAGCTTCCACCACCAAGTGTGGGATTCGAACTTGGGTCTCCCAGATCCCTGTTTGGTACTCTAACCACTACAGTACACCAGTTCTCGGCCTCGTGCGGTGAATTCTCACCATGTTATAGCACTGCATTAACAGACAGATTTTGTTTTTGCCTTGCGTCTGGGTGAGTTGCAGACATCTGAAATCCTTTAAAGGAAAATGGATTCCCAAAGCCTTCTTGTTCTCATCCAATGACTTTGTTAAGCCTAGACCTGGATAGCCCAGGCTAGCCCGATCCCATCAGATCTTGGAAGCTAAGCAGGGTCGGCCCTGACTAATATTTTGATGGGTGACCTCCAAGGAATACCATGGTCATGATGCAGAGGCAGGCAATGGCAAACAACCTCTGAAATGCCTCTTGCCTTAAAAACAATTCTAGCTCGCCATTTAGTGGCGCATAATGCCAGAAGGGCTAGAACTTCAGGCTGCCAGACAATCTTAGGATCTCCTGGCGATACTATAAACAGTGCCATACCATAATTAATTATTACTTTGTTAAATGCAGTATTAAACCAAATGGAATATTAAACTAAATGCAGAATTAAACTAACGTGATTCCCATGCTGCAGTTATGTATCGTAGATTTTGTTGGCAGAACAGCCATATTTGGGTTGAAGGCTATTCTTCCCTAGCTTGCATTAAGGAAACAGGGAAAAAATGGAAACTTGGGATGAAATTGGAGGGAAAACTGTTTTTTTCTATGATGGAGGCTGCGATTATTTCTTCTACCTCCCAGAAAACCAAAGGTGCAACTTGATAGCAGTTCCACCAGACCCCGTTTTGTACAGTCAGAGTCATCTCATATTCTATACAGGATGTAGAGAAGAGGATTTAAGTCATGAAATATTCCTCTCTCCCCAGTTTTTAAACATCTGTCCCAATGGAGGATTCTAGAGAACTCGGAAGATTGCACATTGTGTTATTTTGAGGTGAGCCATATCTGTTGACATGGCTGCAGCCGAAAATTTAAGCTCCATGCTGGGTATTATTAGGAAGGGGGTTGCAAATAAAAACAGCCAGTATTATTAAAAAAAACCCTCTGTCTCTCTTCTTTTCATGATCTTGCTGTAAACAGGCTGCATGAACTTGGAATTTGCATTTTACAGATGGACAAAGATCTGTGCTCCGGTGCCTGGACATGATGTATAAATGAGCACAAAAGTGTTTGTGACCCGTGTGAACTTCAGACTTTTCAAATCCGGGTGTTGGAATCTGCTGCAGCAGCTGTCAAGCAAAAATTTTAACATGGGAATCGGGCAATAAGATCAGTTTTCTGCTGCTACTTATTTTTTCCAAGGTCTGGTGGAAAGGTTGACAGTCCAGTGAAATCTTCTGGGATTAAGTGGTTTACAATATATCAGACAAGTTAAACAAAGAATATTGAACCTCTCTGTTTATGTTATCTTGGGATCCTGCTGAGCTTTCTTTTAAAACACCCTTTCTTCACATAAAATCCCCTCTTCGTCTGTGCACTGAAAAGACAAGGAGGGGAGATGTCAGGATTGTATGGTGTTTCCAAAGCAGCTTAAGTTGGGTTGGCCATTCCTATATGCTATTATACTTTGGTCCCATTGTGAGAAGGCAAGGCACTGGAAAAGACCAGAACGCTAGGAAAAGTTGAAGGCAGCAGGAAAAGAGGAAGACCCAACCTGAGATGGACTGACTCAAATCAAAGAAGCCACGGCCTTCAATTTGCAGGATCTGAGCAAGGCTGTTAATGATAGCACATTTTAAAGTAAAGGTAAAGGTTTCCCTTGCTCGAAAGCCAGTCGAATCCAACTCTAGGGGGTGATGTTGATCTCTGTTTCCAAGCTGAAGAGCCAGCGCTGTCCGAAGACTTTTCCATGGTCATGTGGCTGGCATGACTAAAAACCAAGGTGCACTTGGGACAACTTTAATTCATAGGTTTGCCGTAAGTTGGAAGCGACATGTCGGCCCTTAACACACG